GTGTTTCTTGTGCTATTTCCTAAAGTTGTTTATTTTATTTTATAACTCCTAAAGTCGAGAGATTATATATATATATATATATATATATATATATATATATATATATATATATATATATATATATATATATGTATGTATGTATGTATGTATGTATATACATATACATATATGAGTCCTTCCTGTGATGGCTGGTTCGGAACTACACCGAATAGCACTCCTAAGCTACCTGCCATATTATCTACCATTCATATATTTTTTATCAATGGGCCTAATCATTTTTGTGTTTTTCAGATCCAGTCGCATATATGTTGTTGACACTGCAAAAATTCCAAGAGCTCCATCATTGCATAAGGTTGTTGAGCCCACAGATATTCTGCAAAAGACTGGGCTAGCATATCCTCATACCTCTCATTGCCTTGCGTCTGGTAATATAATGGTCTCTTGCCTTGGAGATAAAGAAGGAAATGCAACGGGGAGTGGCTTCCTGCTTCTTGATTCAGATTTCAATGTGAAAGGAAGGTGTGGTGTTCACTGTTCTCTTTAATTTGTAACTTGAAATCTAGGCATCTACCTTAGTACGTTTTGATAATATCTAGACTTAGTTTGTTTAGTACATTTTTTTCTTGGTTTTAACCATCATAAAGCCACTGATGTCCTTTTCTTTATCCCATTTTATAGTAACAAAATTGGTGATGTTTTTGGTTACTTGGTAAGTCTTTTCCTCAGAATTTGATCTGAAAAATCATTATAAGGATTTTTCAAATACACTTTATGCTTTAGAATGTTTTATCCTTCCATCTGAGGAAATATGCATTGATAAAGCATTGATTATTCAGGTGGCCATGAGCCAACCCTTACTCTGATTGGCTTGCATTGTATATGATTTACATTGTATATGATAAACTCCCCAAACAATAGAAAACTGTTCTTGATTAAATTGGCAATCCCCTAAAGGTAGAATCTTGAGAATCTTAATGAAAAAAGGCTGATGTCTGCTTGAATTTGAAATTCATGATTTTGTGATTGGGCGTCCATCTTGCCTATTGGTTGAGCACAGAACAGAACGGAATAACCAATAAATCGCTCTCGTAAGAATTAGTATCACAGAAAATGAATCCTGATCACCTGGGTTCTTCTGATTTTGTAGAAGACGCTTCAATGGTAAGTTCTAACTGTATGAGGGGTGTTGGAGAATGTTATTGTGAAGTTCAAAAGCATCTTTTGTTTAATTTAACAGAATGTTGTCATGAAAACTAAAAAGAAATTTGGTTTATATTGGAAACTGTCAAAAGCAGTAACATGATAAGCAGGTCCTTGCTGCAATAAGCGAACTAAAGGTCCTAAAGTATTTTGATTTTGTCACGCAAATAAGGAATTATCCAAATCGGTTTTTGGTGCTTCTTTCATCATTATACCTGTGTTGTCTGGTTTATGCATGTGATGAATATATCAAAGTGCACTGGAATTGAGATTAAGCATTCAAATGAGCTTGGACAATCACTTATGGTGATCATTCTGATGAACGTTCATATTCATTTCTATCGATTTGTTTCACTTCACTTCCTTGCTGCCAATAATGTTTGACCTTGTTGTCTAATGCAATCCATACAGGTGGGAAAAACCAGGTCATAGTCCTTTGTTTGGCTATGATTTTTGGTACCAACCACGTCACAAGACCATGATCAGCTCATCATGGGGAGCTCCTGCAGCTTTTTCAAAGGGTTTCAACCTACAACATGTTTCAGACGGATTATATGGAAGACACTTGTATGTTTATAGCTGGCCAGATGGTGAACTAAAGCAGACATTGGATCTTGGAAATTCAGGGCTCTTACCCTTAGAAGTCTGTGTTTGTGTTGTTCTTTCTCAATATAAGAAACTCCAATATATTCACATTCTGAAAAAAATTGCTATTCTTGGCAGACACGATTTCTGCATGACCCATCTAAAGACACTGGCTTTGTTGGCTGTGCTTTGTCCAGCAACATGGTGAGATTTTTCAAGACCACAGATGGTCTCTGGAACCATGAGGTTTGTTTTGTCATTTGCTTTTCTAGCTTTTTTGCGATTCTGCCTGCTTTTCGATGGGATACCAAGTACTAAGAAATCTAATATCTGCTTTTTAAGGTTGCCATATCTGTAACTCCACTGAAGGTGCGAAACTGGATTCTACCCGAAATGCCAGGGTTGATCACAGACTTTCTCATCTCTCTTGATGATCGGTACCTCTATTTTGTCAACTGGCTTCATGGAGATGTTAGACAGTATAACATTGAAGATCCTTCAAAGCCGGTGCTGACAGGACAAATATGGGTTGGAGGTCTCCTTCAGAAGGGAAGTGACGTAGTCTGTGTGTCAGAGGATGGGGTGGAGTCACAATTTAGTGTACCTGTGATTAAGGTGAGTACCTTCTATCCGTGTCTATTTACATTCTAGTTCCATATTTAACATTTATACCATTATTCTGCATGCATCATGTGTTCATTTTGAATTACTAGTTTTGAGTCTTCATTTCTTTGATTAGAAATAGGCATGAAGTACATGCTTATAGAGGTTTTTGAGATTCCTTTGTTGCCTATGAGTGGGCATTTTAAAATGAACTGGTAACATGGGAAAATTGGAACCAATTCTTATCTTAGTATATGCTTCTGTTAATTCAAAGACTAAAAGAAGCATGACAAGCTGTAAAAAATAGAACTGACAACTTGTTTGTGTTGTAAGTTTTCTTTGGTGGGAATTGCATCAACTGTACGATTTAATATTCGAAGAACTATAGTTTCACCTCGAGAACCATACTTTTGCCGTATAGGACTGTAAAGGTTAGAGCTTGTCACATTGACAACTACTCTTTTATCAGGGAAATCGACTTAGAGGAGGACCGCAGATGATTCAACTGAGCTTGGATGGGAAGCGGCTGTACGTGACAAACTCACTCTTTAGTGTGTGGGATCAACAATTTTATGGCCCAGATCTCGTGAAGAAGGGATCTCACATGTTGCAGATTGATGTGAACACCGAGCAAGGTGGGTTGACCATAAATCCAAACTTCTTTGTTGACTTTGGGACAGAGCCTGATGGACCTGCACTGGCACATGAGATGAGGTATCCTGGTGGAGACTGCACTTCCGATATTTGGATATAGATGAAGCAGCTTCGGAGTAGAACTCGGTTATCACTGTAGCAATTTACGACATCTTTATGGAACAAGGTTAATGTACTATGTGATTTCTCTACTTGGTGTTCAGGCGATTACGAGAAAGGATTCTCACTATTTGCTTCTCGGTGCTGGAAACTTTTGTTGGCTGTTGATAATCTCTTGAATGAGTAGTTTGATGTGTGTACTGCCAGTTTACTGGTTTATGTGCGCATTACTGCATCGATGTTGGTATGCACACTCAGAAACTATTAATCCAAACATATTTTACTGTCTCTAAAGTCTGGATCAAAGGAAATGTGAGATGTATATGGGAGTGCAGTGACTGAATACATATTTTGGTCTACTTCATGGATGTTGATATGCACACTCAGAAACTATTAGCCAAAAAAATTCAAGTCCGGATCATAGGAAATGTGAGATGTATATGGGAGTACAGTGACTGCATACATATTTTGGTCTCTTTGTGATTTCTGCCAGACATCTGTTCCTATGAACTAACTATTTTGATTAACTAGATTTTCCATATCTCTTATGTCAAGGCATGATGAGACTTAAATAAAAGGTGCTCTTGTTGTCATTGCTTTCTCTTTCCTGCTTCTCTTCACCATTCGCTCTTACTTCTGGCACCATCATTTTGCTCATTGCCAGTCTCGTTATTGTTCCCCGTCGATCGACATCTCTTTGCATCAGAGTCCTCCTCCGTCTGCCACCTGAAAGCTCAAAATTTGGAGTCCTTCCTGAAAGGAATGATCTTTACACCTTGGGAGGATCGATGACGGATTTCGGTCGAATAGTATCCTTCCCTTTGCTCTTCGGAGGAGCTTTTCGCTTCTTCGCGTTGCCATCTCTGGGAGCTCCTAAGCTTGCTTCTCCACTCACAGAAATCTGATCGGATGCCGATGATTCCTCTCTAGAGTTTCACGACTCGGCATATCTCACCGTCGGACATTGGTCGCTTGCTACGCTGGAATGCAGCTTGGCATTCCCTGGTAGCTCAAGATGGCCGGAGAGCCAACAGCGATTCCGGTCGTCGAGGCTGGAAAACCTTGCTGCGCACTCCACGAAGCCTGGGCATGCCGGGAACTGATCCAAATGTGCCAGGGCCAGATTGCCTGCAATAGTTAGCCCTCCCATGGCCTGAGGCAAGCGTCGACGAACGTTATCCAGCTTGGAAAGATCGCCTTTTGGAGACGAATTCCCAGAAGCATCCGTGAATTGGGACCGCGGTGAGACCTCCTCGCTCGAGTCGTCGATTCTCTGCGAACGTGCCCCGAGCTCACGGAAGCCGCAGCTCTTGGCAGGGGCAGCTGAATTGGACGACTGCGACGACATGAAGGAACTCATTGCCGACCCAAATTGGCTGTCGGGATCGATCGATGGAATGAATCCATCACATCTCAAATTTTGCTATGTGCTAACTCTCTCGTTAGTATAAATTTTGTGGACAATACCAACTTAATACCTATATTCTTACCAAATTAATACCTATATTCTTTTTTATCATCTTTTACTTAACCAATATGATCAAAGTAATTAATTTTTAACATATTACAAGGCATGTAAATAATAATTCTCATTCTCTTGCCTCTGCAGGTGATTTAAAGCTGTATCCCCTACCGGGGGGCCTCCACCAACGGTCTTCCCCATCGAATGGAGTTTGGCCACGGAGTCGGATTCCCGTGGGCTCCACAGGTGGCCCCGTATCCACGCGAATTGCACAGATAATGCCCTTCGCGCCAGACTTGATTTACGAAATCAGTCGCGACACATCACCGAGAACCGACCCCATCTCATCCGCCTAACGCCCCGCTCGATGTGCACCACGTCAGCCTTCCGTCGATCTCCGAATGCAACCGCGAGGAACGCCGTAGGAATAATGGACGGCGGGTGGGTCGCGCTTTCCTCCGCAGTCCTCTTCCTCCCTTCGGCTTCTCCCGCCTCGTCCTCCAAGTTCCGCACCCTCTCGCCACAAGCAAGCAAGCGTGATCGAAGCGATGCCACTGCTACCACCACCGCCCTTTGGCTCGTCGCCCAGAACTCAGTGGGCGTCCTAAGGTACTACTCCTTCCCTATACCCTCATATAAAAAAGAGAACCCTCCTCTTTATGTATCTTGGTTACAGCAAAATTGGGTAATTGTACGGTTCGAGAGAGAATTGATCTGTGAATTGAAATATTAAAAAGTTCGGTAATTAGGTCTAATACTGGAGTGCATTGAAGAACATTTAGAAAAGGCCAGATTTTGACTGGAACTGCGAGTTAATATTATCCGATTATGACCTCCACAGGTCGAGTAATAGTCTGCTGCTTAGCTGCAAGATTGTCAGGGATCCTCGATGTGTTGGTATTCGGTTCTCGGTTCTGCTCTATGCATGAGCAGCCTAGAATGTACATGTTTTGAATACTGTGGCACTCTAAATTAAATGTAATTTTTGATGATTGTACATTGTATTATGTTTTTTAATTAGTAATCATTGTGCAGTTCGTAGTTTGATCGATTCATTGGTCACTTAACACTTCATCAAGATATCTACTTCACCGGGATATGCATCATCATTTTTCATTACTACTGTCATATTACGTAGTAGAGTGCTTCTAAAACATGTTTGGGTGTAATCTCCTTCTCTCTGTTTTTCATTTTTGTAAATTCTACTAGTTTCATCATTATTTTTATGTTTCATATACAAATAACACACAAATTGTTGAAACAATTCACTTTGTGTTAGATAACTAAGTACTTCATCTCAGCTCTTTTTTGTTTTCCATTTCCGATTACCGACTGATATGTTTTCCACCTTTTCCGTGCTACCATTTCAAGTGACATGGGGGATCCCCATTTGGTTAATTGAATCAAACTAGTAGAAGAAAGCAAACGAGTCAACAGATTATCTGAGAGTTGGATCTTGATTTAATGTCTATAATTGGTTGGTGTGATTACTGCAGAAATGTTGTTTCATCTGATGATGAACTACTTGGTGAAGGCTGCAGCATCTCCAACTTGTATTTGACAACACTCGATCCAACTGCCAGGATGCACTGATAGATGTGAAGGTCATCTTTCACCCTTAGTTAAGTTCCCACTCAGATCTTGCACCAAGATAGATCCGGAAAACCCTACCAGTGCAAAACTTACACTCACAGGAAAGGTATGATAAAAGATTATAGTAAGAAAAAAGTCTGCAAATTGTTTTTTAGTTTAGTCTGCTGCATTTCATTCTTTTGTTCTTTTTTATTTTAATTATTCAGCACTAATTTATTCAAATTGTTAATTATGCTTTCGATAGTTTTATGTGGATGACAAAGAAATTTTTGTTGGAATTACCAGAGTTAAACTCTTGGACTTAGATATATGGTCATAGAAGATTTGATACAGGTTTCAAATTGTTTGTCTGATGCAGCTATACATCTGAAAACATATATATCTTTGCTAAAATCAAAAGGGCAAGTGTACCACTTCAAAGATTTATGACTTGATGCCTCATGAAAAGTTCTCACAAATGATCTTAGGGTTTCTGACTGACTCTAAAGGGAACATTTGGTGCACAGTTTTGTTTCATCAATGTATAAATTGCACTACCCAAAGTGTCTAGGTGGACACTACATAAATGTCTCGGCACCACATAGGTTCATCTATGATTTATGGAGTTATTAAAATGAAAGAGATTATGTAAGGTTTCACAAACTTTTGGTTAATGGACATATTCCATTATGGAGGTATGCTTAGAACTTAGGTTGAAAGTTGTGGGTCTAGAAGGTCTTCACAGATTAAATTCCAAATTTATCATTCATATTGTGCCTCAACTTGATGTGAGGCCTTTGTATTCTGTAGTAAGCTTTAAGAGTGCATCTGTTAGTATCATAAAACTTTGGACATCAGGCTTTCTTGGATATTTGCAGTTTTAAAAATTATAAATTGATTAGTCTGATCGGATTAATCGATTTTAGTTTGTTTGATTCGATAGATCTCAATTGTTTTGATTCAATCTGTCTTACTTTAAAGAAAACAATCTACTCTCTCTCTCTCTCTCTCTCTCTCTCTCTCTCTCTCTCTATATATATATATATATATATATATATATATATATATA